TTATCTGTCGCGTTTTCCCGCTGGATGCTGGACCAACCCTATGCGATCGTTCTATGCCGTCTGGTGAGAGTTCAAGCCCAGCTTTGTTCACAAGATCAATGACAAGTTTAGTGGTATCTTCAGACGGTTGTTCGGGTATACCAGATACTCTAACGAGGGGCCGGCGACTGTATTGCTCAAGGTCGTCGACCTTGTCACGAAGGTCAAGGTTTTCTTTAACAAGTGCCTTGTTACTATCAGACAATTTTGAACACTCGGTCTGTAAGCTGTCGATGTGGGATTGTAGTGGGGCGACCGCATCGGCGACAGCACGGGCAATCTCGGACTTTATATCAGTGATGATTGAGTTCTTCACTGCGTTGCTGATGCGAGCAACGCCATGATCAGAGAGGCTAAAGTTGCCCGGGGGTGGGAACTGAGCGAAACTGTGAGATGGTGGCACATTATGTACTTGATGGTACGGAAACATGTTTCCCATATATTGCGTCATGGGAGTTGATGATAACTGCGTATCAGGGGAGACACTGATTGAGTCATTCATTGCAGAATAAGAAGTCGACAAATTTTGCTCACTGTCTAATTTATTCTTTTTATTTCCATGCAATGTATCAGGCGGTGTAGAAGAACTGGACAACAAATGCCGTGGTCTTTTGGAGTCGTTGACTTCCGTACTAGTAGAGTTAACTGGCGTATCGCACATCACTTGACACACAGTGTTTACGTTCTTTTACAGGTACATGTGTACAATGACAACACACCGCGCGTGACTGAATGATTGGAATGTAATGACTCCTCACGCGCGCACGAGTGCACTCGGGCGACACGTATAGTGTCAGTATAGCAAAATAACGTAGGCAAATATCTACCTTGATAAATGAGACATGTAAAAATGTATGTACAAGTTCAATCACCAACAGTATGGCATATGGTACAGCAAACCCCGAGGGTGAAAGTTCCTTGAATCACTTCACATAACAATTTTTTCTCTCACCGTGTTGTCGACAGTGCGAAGTCCTCCATGACCGGGAGTAGATTTCAGTGAAATTCTTAACTATTTCTAACTGTATTTTTCGATTGAAAGATGTTTTCGGTTATATTTTGCGAGTTTGTAGGAAATATTTACAGTCAGAGATCAGCATTCACTTTGTGTTTGTAAAATAATCTAAACTCATTTCATTCATTTTTTATAGAGATTTGCATTAAAAAATAGCATAATTTGGACAGGAATGTGTACATCGTCCTTCAAAAAAGGAGCTTGTAAAAGCCCGTTTCAAAATAAATAAAGCAAATTTTGAAAAAGACTTGCACTAGAAACCAACTTATTATATTCATATTGAAATCACCGTCTTCTATACAACAACATAGGATTTTTTAATAAGTTATAAAGGGCAAATTCGGCGTCCATTGACAGAAGAGGAGAAAATAAATATTGACTAAAATGTTTACCGTTTAACCCCCTCTCCCCCCACCCCTTAAAATGATAGATGTAGGAGCTTTTATGGATTCTCTTAAATTAGGATGGATAAGAAGAATCACTCAGTCATCAGGAAAATGGAAAGTTCTATTGAATTCTATTGTAGAGGTAAAAAAAATTGTTTCATTGTGGAAAAGAGTATGTTAAGTCATATAGTAACAATTGCAACAATATATTCTGGAAAAATGTTTTTAAAAGTTGGGTTAAATTGAATAATGCCTTTCCTATGAGGCAAAGTAAGCCTGAGTCAGTTAAAAAAAATCTTTATGGTACAATAATGACATTCAAGTGGGCAATAGATATGTCTTCTATCCTGTATGGTTTAATGCTGGTATGTATACCATCAATGACCTAATTAAAAATTCTGATCATTTGACATTTTTCTCCTTTGATAAGTTTCGTCATAAATTTGTAATCAATACCAACAGTTTACAGTATTATGGCTTGCTTACAGCCGTCGAGTGTTTCTTGAGAAAACATGACTTCCATCCATTAGGACTATTTCAGCCTTTTATACCACTTCTATGGGAATTTTTTTTATAAAAGTCAAAAAGGTGCCAAAGACTTCTACAATGCTATTAAAAACCAGCTCCGACCCCTACTGGTATTCGAAAATGGAATGATGAGTTTGACTTCGATGATCAGAAGTGGAAAATATTTTAATAATTCCGTTTACTATTACAAAAAGTTCTAAGCTACAGTGGTTTCAAGTAAGGATTATACATCACATTCTGGTTACGAACTCCTTTCTTTTCAATATTAATTCAATACCTAGCCCTTTATGTACACTATGTAATATGGAAAGAGAAACTATCGTTCACTGTCTATGGGAGTGTATAGAGGTACAGACTCTATTGGGGAGATTTGAATCTCTTCTTGATATTTTTCTGATTCCTTTCTGGATAAACAAAGAAACATATTTATTTGGAATTATCCATCCTAATGCTAACACTGTAGATAATCAAATTTTAATTCTCACTAAACACTATGTTTATATGTCAAGATGTCTACAAAAATCTCTTAATTTAAATGCTCTTATAAATAAGATTAAGGATCATTTCCATGTTCAAAAGTACATTTCCAGCAAAAACACTATTATGAAAAATTTTGAGAATAATTGGAAAAAATGGATGCCCATTTTGGAACTATAGTATGTATGCTAACAAGTCTGTTCCCAATGGCCATGGACTTGACTTTACCAAACTGACTTTAAATTTATTGAATTTCCACAAAATTAATGCTATTTTTATTTAATGATTATAACCATCCCAATTCTCTCTCTCTCTCTCTCTCTCTCTCTCTCTCTCTCTCTCTCTCTCTTTTGTTTAGGATGTATACTATTTATATATATATAAATGTATTCATGAGTATGTGTGTGTGAGAAAATATCTTTGATAAGTGCAAGTGATATGATATTGTATGTGTGTGTGTGTGTGTGTGTGTGTGTGTGTGTGTGTGTGTGAGTATTTTGTTAAGCACATGTAAGTTTGCTATGTGAGTGTAAGTGGGTGTGAATGTTGATGAGTGGTAGATACATGCGCATAATGATAAAGATGATGATGATGATGCATGTATATGTGTAAGATATTCAAGTAAGAGCACACAAGTGTGAGGGTCTGGGTGTATGTTTTTGTGTGGTTTCTATGTATATTTGTGTTGTCAAAAAATAAAATAAAAAAAAAAATTTTACCGTTTAAAATACAGACGTAAAACCATGGCAGTTTTGTAAGTAACATGTTAATGTGTACCTCCTTGAATGAATCCTTTCCCTACCTCTGCTACTGCCAGTCCGGAAACGGTACATGGTATATGTACATAAATGTTTTCTAAAATATTTCTGTTTTAGTTTTAATCGATAAAAAGTTAAAATACTGACAAGTGACCGGTGTAAATTTGATGGCAGTGATGTTATGAACTTTACGAAGTGTCTTAATATTGTAGAGTGTATATTTATAACATAAGAATGATTGTCGCGATAGTCTAACAATTCTAAAAAGAGCGTGTTGGCTCGCCGAGAAAGCAGCATAGCCCTTACCTTCTATAAGTAACCAAATTCGATCAAAAGGATTCTTGGGACGAGGCACAATTGTAAAGTTATAATACCCAAACTTGTGAAATCCAAAGTTATTTTGCTTCCAAGTGTCCCCTTATGAGGGAATAAAATTTACTATAATTTATAGAGAAGTATGTTTGTGACATATTCCACTAAACCAGCGAGCTAGTTTTAATAATATGTTGTAGGATAGGATATTTCAGTACCTTGCTAAATTAAAAACCGGAAGTTGTAAATTTGAGACGTGAGAACCGTGATTAACTTATATTGACAGTTTGTGATAAGTTAAATAGCATTATAAGACAGTATCTAATCAGCTGTATTTAGTCAAATCAGTTTTAAATGCATAATGACATTGCGTTGTCATTACAATTGTCTTTGTACAATTCCTTGTTATAACTGCTGATCTACATGTACGGACTAATAAACAGACACTAATACTTCCTTGTTGTGTGTTGTTGCTAACAGTCACGATAAGACCGGTATATTGCGCAGTTGATCTGTCAAGGTTATTTTTTAAAGTTCCGAAGTGTAACTGTTGCGTAGTGTCAGATAATTATATGTTGAGCAGGGAGCTCTACCTAACAACAGATGGAGCTTAATCCTGCCTTACACTAATTCAAAAGATATCTTTCTACTTCTTTCATAATTTTCATAAATATACATTTCAGTATTTTAAATAATTTATCATTTAGTATTTTGTCTCATGTTGTTCTTACTATCACTACTGCTGTTACACTTGTGTCTTTATAGTTAAGTCAGATGACCGTCAAGGTTCGTGGGCCTCTTGTTGTTCCAACTATCACTACTGCTGTTACACTTGTGTCTTTATAGTTAAGTCAGATGACCGTCAAGGTCCGTGGGCCTCTTGTTGTTCCAACTACCACTACTGCTGTTACACTTGTGTCTTTATAGTTAAGTCAGATGACCGTCAAGGTTCGTGGTCCTCTTGTTGTTCCAACTATCACTACTGCTGTTACACGTATGATTTTTTTTATAGCAAATCACAATTTAGCGAATCTTTCCAACCACTACTTTCCCAATCATAGAGGGATACAACAATCGGTAAGTACCAGGTTATCATATTTCAGTAACCACGGCTGTGGTATTGGTAGATGTATGATGTAAAAAGAAATAATACATGTATTGTAAGTATGTATACTTCTGTACTGTGTAATAAGACATACCTATATTGTAGGTACATAAACATGTGTATCGTGTAAGGACATATATCTATACTGTAGGTATATACACATATGTATTTGGTAATAAGATGTTCCTGTAATGTTACTCAATATACCTGCTATACACTCTACCCTATATCACCCTAAAACGGTTGTCAGTTGCCTGTTGCAAAAAATATATTCAACCCTTTCCAACACTCACTACACTTTGGAGCGACTCTAGTACCCCACAAATATTACACGCACCACACCAACCTACATTACCTCACGTGAATACATTACAACTTACATGGATGTTTGATAAAATGAGGTTTCAGGAAGCCAACTCTGTATCTTCACACTTCTGATTGTCAAAAGAAACACACATACAAATGTATCATCACTGTCGACAAAGTTATTGTTCCTCTCCTTCTTCTATTATAGCTCTTTCCCCCCGAATAAACTGATAAATTCCTTGTTATAATTGTTGATCTACATGTCCGGACTAATAAACAGACACTAATACTTCCTTGTTGTGTGTTGTTGCTAACAGTAACGATAAGACCGGTATATTGCGCAGTTGATCTGTCAAGGTTATTTTTAAAGTTCCGAAGTGTAACTGTTGCGTAGTGTTAGATAATTATATGTCACGATCATGGAGCTCTACCTAACTAGAAATGTAGCTTAACTCTCCTTACCGTAATGTAAAAGATCTCTTTCCAGTTTTTCTTTCATTTTATTTCAGTATTTTGAATTATTTATCATTTATTAGTTTGAACGTGAAATTTTATTTCCTGCGGTTTCAAAGATACTGCCACATTAATTATCGATCTAACGCAAGCGGCAGTCATCAGTTCCATGACTTATATAAGGTCAGTGAGCTTCTTGGTGTTCCTACTATCACAACTGTTTTTACATTTATAGCTAAGTCAAGAGACCGTCAAGGTCCGTGGGACACTTGTTCCTTCTATCACTACTGCTGTTACGTTTGTGTCTTTATAGTTGAGTCAGATGACTGTCGTGGTCCGTGGGACACTTGTTGTTCCTATCACTACCGTTGTTACACTTGTGTCTATATAGGTAATCGCAATTTGACAAACCTTTACAACTGCTACTTGCCCAATTATACAGGAACACAATAACCCAGCAGGCATTGTACGTCAAATTTACGTCATATTTTCGTCAAATGATGGTCAGGACGTCATTGACGAGTATTTGACGAAGATCTGACGTAAATACCCTGACGTCAAATTGATGTCAGAAGTAAAACGTCAGATGTACGTCAAGTGGCCAGAAAACCTGACGAAAATAAAATGTTCACAAAATGTTGATTTTGATTTCAGAAACGATCTCGGGTAAGCGTACTGTTACAGAAAATACTGCTTGTCCCACCTCCCGCCCCTTCAGTTCTAGTTTTGTCATGGTTGAAACAACATTCATGTGATATGATACTCTTTATCATTCATTAAGCAGTTCTTTCTACAGCTTCATAATTTTAACCAAGCTGTATAAATGACAAAAATATCTTGGTATATATTGCGGTTGATGTCAATCTGATTAAAATCCAGATCCCTAAATACATCACCAGAAGCCGGTGGGTTTTTTTTTCTCTTGTTACCTCACTTTAATGGCACATCGAAATTTCGAAAAATAAAATCATCACAAATACATCTACGCGATAAGAAATTGTTCTGTGTCAACAAAAAGCTTTTGTTGGCTATTTGATGCTTTAATTTAAAAATTCAACTACTTTTAGTAAAATATGGAACGATATGAATATTATCACCGGCGTAGTTCGTTCATACTTCCTGTCATTTTAAAATTCTAGCGGGCGCCGAGTGTTACGGCGGGAAACGAGGTCACATCGGTTTTTGAATTTTTTACATTTACTTTTGGATTTCTGTCAACAGCTGGTTTATTTTGCTTCATTCTCGGAAAAGGTGAGTTGGTTTATCACTCAATGTCTGTATTTGCACCGTTATAATTTTACTTTTGTTTTTTGTTGACTTTTTAGCTGTTTAAAAAATCATGGTGGAAACCGATTACACGAGGTTACACAACTCGTGGCCACCGGTACGGTATTTCTTTCACTCGAGATAGGCTAGTTATGTGTTAAAAGTTATAATAGAAACTCGCTAAAGCTTGTATCTTTTGTAACTTTAACAAAAATAACCAACTCGAGTGAAAGAAATGCAATAACCAGCAGTATTTTCTCCACTTCTAGCCATGCAGAATACACAAAGAGATACAGCACTTTTTTGCTAAAATTTTCATATAACGTATCTATAAATCATTTTCACAAGTTGAATTGGTTTGGGATTTTTTAACCAGGTTTACTGTGCATACATCAATATTTTGACAAAATTGGCTGATATTTTGGGAGAAAAATAGTTAATGTACAAATGTAGGTATGTGTGATATGGATATTCTACCTAAGGGTGTATAAGTTGGGGTCTTAACGGAGGCTTCAAAGGTTATAACCCAAATGGCTCCTGTGTGGTGCAAATTTTGAAGATGCTATATACTTTTACTTCCAGTGTCCTCTTTACTCACATGTTAGACATCATGTTAATTCAGTATATAATTTATTAGGAAATGTTAACCTTATTGTTTTGCTTTATGGTATCATTGGAATGTCAGATGAATTTAGTAGTTTTATACTTTATCATACTAGTTCTTATTAAAAAAAACTGAAATATTCTCAATTTACAAGTAATAATATATACATACAAATCCTATATTTATAATATTTAGTATACTTAAGTAGTTGTGGATGTAGTGTGGGAGTGAGTATGTGAGTGGTTTATTTTCTTTTCTTTATTCTCTCTTTATTATTATAAACTGAAAAATACCATCCTATTATTAAGAACAATCGAATATATTAATTTAAAATATACCGGTATCATTTGGGAAAAGACTTAATCCCATTGTTAATACTAAGTTTAGACTATTTATAATATGTTATATATTTTGTTATGTATACTATTTATTAACAATAAAATATTTTGAAATTGAAAAAAAAGTTATAACCCAAACTTCTTCACCTTGGGTAGAATATTCATATTCTACATTCTTCTTTAAATCTTTAAAGGAATAAATTTTCTTCCCCATTGCAATATTTTTTAACATTAAATGCAATACTAGAAAAAAATAAAGAACAACAAATGTTACATTAGTATTAAGATCTATTGCATTGATCCTTTCAGAAAGCACACAAAGGTGTACAGACTGCAGAGACGCTGACCTGGAAGCAGTGATCGGGTACACATTAAAACATGTGCCCGACAGGAGAAAAGGAAGGAGGAGTAAGACACCAGTAAATAATGTTATCAACATTTATTTACAAGAATCTCTGTACCAACAATCAATCTTTAATATTGCAAACCTATTTTCAGGCATAAAGTTTCATGGAAAACTTCCTCTTTTATTATCTCCTCTTATTTGTATTTAATAATTTGAAGTCCTTCTTGTAACATATTGTGACATTCATGTATTGGGAAAAACATTGTCAACTTTTCATGGGAAATATGGTATTCAAATCTTAATTTTAAGAAGGGTTACTGGTATTATAATAAAATATACATTAATTTTGTTAGGGGCTCACTCTAACAGTGAATAAATATGAACATTTTATGTTTCAAACATTTTGTAATTTGTGCATTTGGAATGTTTCATGGTTGCTTTTTGTGTATGTATTTATAAATTAGGTTTTCAATATTTTATTACAATAATTTCTTTAACCAGTTTTTTTTCCCCATTTCTTGTTTATTGTAAAATCTTGAAAAGAAAATGAATATTTTGTTTCTATTGTGCATGGGTTAAAATAATGACTTTGATAGAAAATTTACAAATGAGATCATATATACAGAAGCTTGTTTTTATTGTCTTTAAGACTAGTTTTGTTATATTTAAACAAAGAAGATCATGTCATGAATAATTTCTTTTGTCGCTCTTGTCATGTTTGTAAATTTGTTGATTATTGTCATGATACATATATAATTTTTTGTGCAATTATGCTATAAATAAAATTTATAAGAGGAACTATATTTTGATTTATTTTATTAATATTACTTTTTAATTCTTCAAAGCATCCGCAACGTAACGCATCTGAAGTCAGATTCTGACCAATTCTGACTAATAAATGACGAAAATCTGACGTAAAATACTGACATAATATAGATGTCAGACATTTACGTCAATATTACTTTCATTTCTGACCATTATTTGACGTAATCCTGACGTTTCGAGTAATGAAACATACCTGTACTGTAGGTATGTACACATACGTATTTGGTTATAAGACGTGTTTAAAGATACCTGCATTTCACCATATCCTATATCACCCCACAATGGTTGTCGGATGCATTTTGCAAAAATATATTGAACCTTTTATCGCACTCAAACCATTTCACTCCACAACACCACTGGACTGTCTCTTGTGCCCCACAAATCTTACACACACCACACCACCCTACCCTCAGGTGAATACATTAAAACTTACCTGGATGTTTAATGAGAGGTGTTTTCAGGAAGCCAACTCTGTATCTTCACACTTCTGATTGTCAAAAGAAACACACATACAAATGTATCATCACTGTCGACCAAGTTCTTGTTTCTCTCCTTCTTCTATTAGAGCTCTTTTCCCCCCGAATGAACAGATAAATTCTTTTGTAATTGCTGATCTACATGTACGGACTAAACAGACACTAATACTTCCTTGTTGTGTGTTGCTAACAGTGACGATAAGGTAGGTAGATTGCACAGTTGGTGTGTCAAGGTTATTTCTAATGTTCTGCAGTTTAACTGTTACACAGTGTCAGATAATATGTTGAAGCTACATGTACATAGTTATACCTCTTTCTGACTAGATATTGAGCTAAATCATGCTTTACAGTAATGTGAAAATCATTTTGCACTTTCCTTCATAGTTTTAAAAATTTGCACAAATACAGCAACTTTGATTATCGAGTTACCAGGATCGACCGTCATAAATTACAAGATTAATCTACTCATGACGTACATCTTCATATGATGTCATCTTTCTCAAGGAGAAACTACACCAAGAAACAGCCATGGTGGATGTTTTATTTTATCAGTTTTTGTCGATTAATAACTGACTAAATAAATCATGGGATTTAGATAGAAAACATTTAATTTTGAATCCGTAAACAGATACTGGGATACAGTGTACCCGAAAGGAAAAATACCAAGAAATTCGATGTCACACAAACTTGGTTCACTTGTATGGGCGTAACATTAAAAATATGACGGTTTGTAGATAAGTTCATGATCTTTCAATGTCGCTTACATCAAATCATCTTAAATATTATTGTCCATATTACTTGATACCACATTAAAAGCAAATTTAGGACCATTGAGTTTGTTTTGCCGTAAATCGTTTGAGAAACTCTTAGTTTTAAAACTGAAGGCTCAGACAGCAAGCCTGATCATTTCTAATAGACTCATAGATAAGGCAACACGTCACAACATGGGTTGTAGATAAATTTTGAAAAAAGAAA